TGAGACAGAGTCTCACTATGTCACCCTCAGTAGAGTGCTGTGGCGTCACAGCTCACAGCAACCTCCAACTCTTGGGCTTAAGCAATTCTCTTGCCTTGGCCTCCTGACTAGCACTACAGGTGCCCACCACAAAGCCTGGCTATTGTTTGGTTGCAATTGTCATTGTTGTTTAGCAGGCCCAGGCTGGGCTCGAACCCACCAGCCTCGGTGTATGTGGCTGGCACCCTACTCAGTGATGGGCACTGAGCCAGGTTTGTTGATTTTTTACATAGTGGCATAATCACCGTGTTCCATAGGAACACTGTGATTTATTACTGAGCCTTTCTCTGCCCGCCGTGGGATCTCTCCTGCCCCCACCCAAGCATCCCCTCTTTCTTCTACCACAACCTTGTTGGATGTTCCTGCCAATCTCAGATGGGAGGAAATCTGTGTACCTTGCTTAGTCAACTGAAAGCGCTCTCTGGGGACCTACTGAGAGAGAGAGAGAGAGAGAGAGAGAGATAGGACAGTGGGTGAGTGTCCTAGGGAAAAAATGGTAGTCATAAAAGTTCAAAAGAAGAAAGTCTGCAATAGGTTGGAGTTTAAATAATTAAGAGGGTAGAAGGACTGTCAGAAATTCGAGAGGTGTGGTGTCTTTGTTCAGGGACATAGGAGTCACTAGGGTCCTTAGCATAGGAAAGGCATTTTGTCTGGAACTTATTCTTTTTGATATTTTGTTTCTTCAGCTGAAAAGTTGATTCTACTTATATTGTCTGTGATCTTGGATATATTTGCATTTATTTTTATCATTCTATGCTTTCTACACATATTTACCCTGCCTTTCCTTCTGTTGGGGGGAGAGGGCTTTCCTCTGCCCCCTCTTCTGCTTATTTTGAATTGATATTTCAGTATTTCTTTATCTCTTCTGGTTTGAGACATATGTATCATATTTCTAATCTTTTAATGATTATTATTAAAATGTCAACATGCATAATTTTAAAGGTCTAATGTTAATGTCCCCGAACAATGCAAGGATCTTGGTTCTTTAATCTCCATTATACTTTTTTTTGGGGGGGGGAAGGCAGGGACAGAGTCTCACTCTGTTGCCCATACTACAGTGCAATGGTCTCAGCCTAGCTCCCGGCAACCTCAAACTTCTGGGTTTGTGTGATCCTCCTGCCTCAGCCTCCCAAGTTGCTGGAACTATAGGCCCCCACCACAATGCTTGGGTAATATTTCTATTTTTAGTGGAGATGGGGTCTCTCTCCTGCTCAGGCTGATCCCAAACTGCTAAGTTCAAGAGATTCTTCCACCTTGACCTCCTAGAGTGCTGTGATTACAGGTGGCCCCTTATACTCTTTTTGATTTAGATATTCTTACAAACAGATAGAAACTGTTGTCTAATATTTTAATACATCCTCCTTTCTTCCCCCAGTTGCTGTAGTAGTAGTAGTTAATTACTATTAGTATAGTCAGCGACTATTTGCATTTACCAATATTTATCATTTTGTTTAGCTCATAGTTTCCAATTTTCCTTCTGATTCAGTTTTTTTTTAAATCTTGAAATGGCTTCTTTTAAAAGAGAATTTCCCAGCCAGTGTACCTTATATGGGTTGTGTGCTGAAATATTAATTTATTCAGCCCCAACAGAGAGTTGGGTCTAGGGCAGCCAGAACCTCCACGGTAATCAGTCATCCATCCCCTGTGCTACAAAACTGTCTCCTTCTGTTTACCTCAGTGTTGCATAAAAACATTTTGTATGTACGACATAATGTGAAAAAGGTTACCCAATTAAAAAGTTCTTTCTGAGGAGCTGTGTTAACAGTAAACACTCTCTATTTGTTTACCTGAAGAGGGCTTTACTTTATCCTCATTTTCCACAGTCGTTTAGCTGGACATAAAACTTCAGAGATTTCAGTTTTCATTTTCATTATAGATGTCCATGGTCAATCTATTTATTATATCCACCATTTTTTATTATTAAAAATATGTAGCCACTGAGGAGAAAGGAAAGGGTATAAAAGAATGTTGACTATCAGTCACTTTTAAATTTCTTATCTGTTACGTTCCCTTTGAGAAATCAAGATGGAAAATGATCCTTCTCGTTTCAGGTGATCTTGGCTGAACTGTACCCCAGTGGATTCCAGCGGTCTTTCTTTGATGAGGAGGACCTGAATACCATTGCAGAGGGAGATAATGTGTACGCCTTCCAAGCCCCTCCGTCACCTGGCCAGGGGATATTCTCAGGTGCTTTGCAGAATTTTATTGGCTTTTATGAGTTATAGGTTTGAGAAGATAGTCTTTTGGTGCTAAAGCATGCAACATCTAGTTTTAGCAGTGGGAACTGTCAGGCTTATTTTTCTAGATAATTTGGTATGCAGATGATTGATATTAAAAGTTATTTAGCTAATAAAGGGATTCCCAAACTTTTGTGTATTTACATATTTACTTATTTGAGACAGAATCTCACTATGTCACCCTCGGTAGAGTGCTGTGGCATCACAGCTCACAGCAACCTCAAACTCTTGGGCTTAAGTGATTCTCTTGCCTCAGCCTCCCAAGTAGCTGGGACTATAGGCATCTGCCAAATGCCCAGCTATTTTTTTTTGTTGTCGTTGTTTAGCAGGCACAGCCTGGGTTCGAACCTGCCAGCCCTGGCATATGTGGCTGGTACCCTAACCACTGAGTTATGAGTGCTGAGCCAGGATTCTCAAACTTTTAGTGAGTATAAGAATCATCTGGAGAACTTGTTAGAGTAGGCTTCTGGGCTCTCCCCACAGAGTTTCTGAGTCTGTGGCCTGAGTGTCTGCATGTCGAACAAGTTCCCGATGGTGCTGGTGCTGCTGGCCTGGGGACCATAGTCTGAGAGTCACTATTCAGGTGCTGGGGTAATCGTCTTCACAACTCTTATGGTTCAAGGTCTGTGTGTGAAGTAAAATTTCCACAAATTTGAATGGTAGATGGCCAAAGAGGTTACTTAAAAAAACCTCTAAACTTTTAAAAAAGAAAATAGTTCCACTTCCTAATGCTTGTCTTTTCTAAACTTAGATTGACTCAATTGGTCAATTTTTAACAGTTTTTAATTTATTGTTCATTATACATGTTGGCACAATTAGCCAATCAAGAAGGCCTATGTTTAAAGGACCTTGAGCCTGTGTTATGATACGTCCCAGAAGAATCCTGTGCTCTGGCCCTATATCCTCAGCCAGCCTAAGTAGCAAGCGCTGAGCCGGATGTTTGCAGTTCTCTGAGTTGTCAAGGAGACTCTGGGCCCTGGAGTCTAGAACAAGACATTGACTAACCTTGATTATGTTACAATGAAGTGACACGAGTCCTCATTGCAAATTCAATCATGGGTAACACAAAATTTCAGAACAGACTGGAAATAGAGGATGGTCCATTTTCTCTATTTCCTCATTTGAAGAGATTTTTACTTTCTCTGTATACTTCTCTGTTGGCTTTCCTGGAAAGTGAATACTCTGAGGGCTCTCTGATGAGGCCTCAAAGCAATCAAAGTTATTTTGGAGTATTTTTCAGATTTCTTAGAATAGTATTAATTAAATTCTTATCCCTATTATGACTAATGGCTGAATACAACCACAACGTATGTGACATTGGTATGCCTGGTGTCAGATGGCACAAGGGCCGTGAACCTTACCATCCCCTTCCCTGACGCCCTCTAGTGTCCCCCATTTGTAGCTGATAGATGCTCAGAGGGAAAGAAGGACTGGAGAGAAGCCAAGGTTCTGGCCCAACTCCTTTAGGAATATGAATGTTATTCTCTCTCCTCCAGCTCATGCATCTGCTCTGCCAGTTTCCCCGCGCTTAGCAGCCTGTGAGGGCCAGCGATTCCCCCTGTCTCTCCACACTGAGAACAAGGTGCTAATCCTCTTCTGTAACTTGGTGGGGTCAGGGCAGCAGGCTAGCAGGTATGTTTAACTTCATCCTTTTTTCATGTGGTGTCTGGGATTTGTTGACCTGTACTGTCTAGAATGAAATTAAATATCTATTTTCAAAGTTAATAAACTAGTAAGAGCGAGTCAGGCACTTACTGACCAAGAGGATCAGAAATAACTGCCTGAGGCTCGGCGCCTGTGGCTCAGGTGGCTAAGGCGCCGGCCACATACACCTAAGGTGGCGGGTTCGAATCCAGCCCGGGCCTGCCAAACAACAATGACGGCTGCAACCAAAAAATGGCCAGGCGTTGTGGCGGGCGCCTGTGGTCCCAGCTACTTGGGAGGCTGAGGCAGGAGACTCGCTTGAGCCCAGGAGTTGGAGGTTGCTGTGAGCAGTGAAGCCACGGCACTCTACCCAGGGGGACAGCTTGAGGCTCCGTCTCAAAAAAAAAAAAAAAAAGAAAAAGAAATAACTGCTTGAAGCAGGTAGCTAACATTGTTCTTTAACATTAAACACCAGGCAGAGGCTTTCCTGTGAATCAGAGGAACAATTATTATTGCTTTTGCCGCTGTTATTTATATTGTGTTATGAGATGTAGGCAGTGTGGTACTGAAGGAAACTGGCTATAAGAGGAGATGAAAGCACTACTACCTGTAGATTATTTGGTTGTCCAGAAAGCCAAGAACTGGAAAGTGATTAGAACTAATGAAAGGGTCCAGAAGGGTGACTGGTTATAAGACAAATATACAAATAGCTCCCTTACATAGTTCAAATAAAGTGTTGAAAGGACAGAACTCCATTAAGATCTATTTAGATTGATAAAATTTCTAAATTGTATACATTTCTAAATTGTATCTGGAATAATAAACTGGTAAGAATAGCCAGAAAATACTAGGAGAAAGTAAAGAAGAAGGAGAGATTGTTTTCCTATTAAAGCAGAATAGAGTTTAATTATTAAAGATGTAATATGGGTAGAAGAATGTATAGTTGAATCAGTGGAGCAGACTAGGCCAAGTATCTGTAAGGATTTATGATATGTGATAAAATGGTGTATTTCATATTACTAAAGACTAAATGAATTATTCAGTAAGTAAGCCTAGGCTAATTGCTTTCTTTCTTTTCACATGTATACATTTCAGATTGATTTGAAAGATAACTGTGGAAAAGGAAACCATAAAGCAACTTTAAAACAATATAGGGGAATATTTACGTCCTTGACGAGGGGGGCTAAATCGGGAGACTACAGATTTTTTAAAAATTTTAAACTAAATTTGAAAAGCAAAGGATGAAGAAAAAATAGTTATGTCATGTGAAGAGATGAAGGATTCACATCCATCATATAAACCCTAACCCTAACCCTCTCCCAGATGAGTGAAACATCTCACCATTTACTCCTGGTAAAATGAGCTGCAGAGATCACCATAAGTTCACAGAAGAAATACAAGGATAGGTTAAAATATTCAGCATCATTAGTAGTAGAAGAAATTCTGATTGCAACAGCAAGATCCTATTTTCCACCTTTCAGATTGTTAAATAATTTTATTTTTTTTGCAGTTTGGCGGGGGCTGGGCTCAAACCCACCACCCCCGGCATATGGAGCTAGCACCTTACTCCCTGAGCCACAGGCGCCACCCTAGATTGTTAAATAATTTTTAGAAGTTGATAATACTCATTCTGGGCTAGATCCCTGATAATGAGTGATGCTGAGAATTTTTTCCTATGCCAGGGAATCAGGCAAGTTGGTAAGGCTTTTCTGGAGGGCAGTTTGGGAACAAATAGCTTTGATTTTCCCTTTCTACTTCTAGAAGTTTATCCTAAAGGAATAATTGACTGTGTGCACCCAGAGGTTATGTACAAGGAAATATCTAGTTCCTGACATTAGCAAGCATCATTTTAAATAAAAATCTGGAAGCAACCCAGATGGCTCACAACACAAGATTAGTTAAATAAACTGATCTGTCCATGGCACAATGGATGCTCTGTGCTCTGGCCTGTCCAGACCTAGCGCCTCATGTTTGTGCTGCGGTTTAGCAAAGTTTGTTTCACATTCTTACCCTGTTGGATCTGCAGTGTGGCCAACCACCAGTGAGTGGGCAGTGATTTGTCCAGCAGCACCCACGGCAGAGGTGGGACCTGCAGGCTCACTGCTGAGGGCTCATTTTCTTGGGATATGGAGAATGTTCCCAGTTAGGAAGGTATTCCTGATACACACAACCAACAGCTGTGTCATCTGTATTATCTCTGTGTTGCTTTTCCTCTGGTTCGAGTGTTGTCTTCCTCTACTCCCTGCTGTAAGGAAATGTGTTTACCAGCCAGCTGGACGTAGGGGCAATCTGTTCACATTGGAGTCTCTCTTTAGTGTTGTATCTCTGGGTCTCTGTTTACACTGCAGTGTCTCCGTTTGCAGTGAAATTCTTTGATCAATAATTTTGTTGTCAGTATACTTCATGGACAAATTTATCGTATTTGGTGCTATTTAAAATTTATACTATTTTTAGTAGGCACATAATTATACATATTTTGGGGGGTACAGTATAATATTTCTGTACATGTACACTGTAACGATCAAATCAGGGTAATTAGCATATCCATCACCTCAAACATTTATTTCTTTCTGTTTGGAAGATTCAGAACCTTCTGGCTGTTTGAAAATGTACAATAAATTATCATTGACTAAGGCCACCCTATACTGCTATAGAATACTAGAACTTACTCCTCCCACCTGGCTGCAATTTTGTGTATGTTAACTAACCTCTTCCTATTCTTGCTTCCCACCCTTTAGGAAGTGCTACTCTACCCTCTGCTTCTTTGAGATCAGCTTTTGTAGCTCCCACATATGAGTGAGAACATGCGGAATTTGTCTTTCCGTGCCTGGCTCATGTCACTTGACATTATGTGCTCTAGGCTCATGGATGTTGCTGCAAACGTGGGCCTTTGTTATTTTTTATGGCTGCATAGTATTCCATTGTGGATATTTTCTTTATCTGTTCACTTGCTGATGGACACTTGGCTATTGTGAATAATGCTGCAATAAACAGAGGTGCAGATGTTCCTTCAACATACTAATTTCCTCTCCTTTGGATAAATACCCAGTAGTGGGATTTCTGGATCATACAGTAGTTCTGTTTTGAATGTTTTGAGAAACCTCCATACTGTTCTCCATAATGGCTATTCTACTTTACATTCCCCCCGACAGTGTATAAGAGTTCCTTTTTTTCCTCCATCCTTGCCAACATCTGCTGTTTTCTGTCTCTTTGATAATAACCATTCTGATGAGGGTGAGATGAGACGTCATTGTGATTTTGATCGGCACTTCCCTGATGATGAGCGATGCTGAGAAGCTTCTCCTATGCCTGTTGGCCATGTGTGTGTCTCCTTCTGAGGAGCCTACTTTTTAATGAGATTGTTTTTTGCTTGTTGAGTTGTTGTGCTTGGCTCTTAACTTTTACCCATTTGAGAAGAAGCCATGATTAGAGCGACCACTCGTGACTGTTGGGTGTCATTATTGTTAGAATAACCTGATTTCCTTGGATTTGTAGGTTTGGCCCACCTTTCCTGATAAGGGAAGACAGAGCCATTTCCTGGGCCCAGCTCCAGCAATCTATTCTCAGTAAGGTTCGCTATCTCATGAAGAGTGAGGCCTCTGTACAGGTCAGTGTGTGTGTGTGTGTGTGTGTGTGCCTTCATGTGTGAGTGGGTGGAACCTAGGAGTAGCTCAGGAGAGCTCGAAGTTTGCTGTTAATGAGCATGTTCATAGTGTTATATAAATAATTTTCATTCATATGTAAGCAAGTAAGTATTTTACAGCTGTAGTGTTTTATTCTTTATGATATTACCAAATACCTTTCATGGACAGAGCATTTTCTTTTTGCTAAATCTTTCAAGATGCTATTGGAATAAAGAACGGTGTTTATGTTATCCTTTTTAATTTTGTGTATATATGGCTTATAATTTTTTCCAGGGGATGGCATATTGTAATAAATTATAACTGTACATTTAAAAACAAATTTCACTGGACATAGTGGCTAATGCCTATAATCCTAGCATTCTGGGAGGCCAAAGCAGATAACTTGCCTGAGCTTAGGAGTTTGAGACCAGCCTGAGCAAGAGCGAGACCCCATCTCTAAACATAGCTGGTTGTTGTGGCGGACGCCTGTAGTCCCAGCTTTTGGGAGGCTGAGGCGAGATGATCACTTGAGCACAAGAGTTTGAGGTTGCTGTGAACTGTGACACCATGGTACTCTAACCAGGGCAACAAAGTGAGACTCTATCTCAAACAGACAAACAAGCACCCCCAGAAATTTCAATGGACTTGAGATATAATTTCTATGGAAAATAGATGATTATGTCCAGATATAAAATTCTAGACATTAAAATAATTTGCTTAGTCTTTTTTAAAAAGCTGAGGTAAAAGTTCAAGGGACAATTTTTTTTCCTCCTTCACTTATTTATTCTCAGCTTGATAGTTTTCAAACTAAAACAACATATTTAAAAAATCATTGACTTTTTTTTAGCTCTCATATCAGGAACTATTCTAATTGTTGCTTGACATAGAAGCTGTTGATTTTTAGGGTTAGATCAGTAGTGTGTCAGATTCGTTTTCCCCTCACTGTTCTAGTGAGACCTTTTCAGTTGGGAGATATATCCAGCTTATCTCAGAGATAGTTCCTCATAATTCGTGTTCTTTCCCACTCAGGGAAAACCATATGTTTGATGTAGGATTTATACCAAATATCACTTTGTTAAAGACCTTCACTACATTTGTATCAACTTTTATCTCTAAAGAATTTTGTTCACTGTGCGACAGAGCAGATCCGCCACAGCACCCAAATTAGAAACTAACTTCTTTGCAAGTAGGTCAGCATAGCTAGTAATAGTTTTAGCCTCCCCAGGCCTTGAGCTACTGACTATAGAAAGTGGACAAGATCACTTTCATGTGAACATTAACTCAGCTGTCCTTGCCTTCCACCTGTGCACACATTTATACCAGAGGCCCCCATACCTCTGTGGTCATTTCAACTTTAGAAACTGATCAAGCCATCAGTGGGACCATCAGAATCTTAATGCAGGCAACCTCCCTACCCAGCCATGGTGCTTTTCTCAGATCCAATGGTCAATGTGTGGTCAGGCTTGATTTTCTGTAGGAATCAGGAATTCTAAATGGTTGAAAGGCTCCCAAGCTAGGGCACCCATTTAACCCATAATTCTTTCAATATTATATTAAATACTGGCTCAATTTGATAATAATTACAGGAGAATATACATATTTACAGTTCTCAACGTGGAACTGAAGAGACTTAAGCATAGTGTATTTTTTTTTTTAAGACAGAGTTCCCCTCAGTAGAGTGCAGTGACATCATAGCTCACAGCAACCTCAAACTCTCGAGCTCAAGCTGTCCTTTTGCCTCAGCCTCCCAAGTAGCTGGGACTTCAGGCAACTGCCACAATGCCCAGCTATTTGTTTAGAGATAGGGTGTTGTTTTTACTCAGGCTGGTCTTGAACTCCTGAGCTCAAGCAACGCAACTGCCTCTGCCTCCCAGAGTGCTAGGATTACGGGCATGAGCCTCCACGCCTGGACCCCAAGCATAGTGTATTGATGGTTCAAAAACTAATCTTCCTGGCCAAGAATAGAGGACAGGCAGATATTCTTACAAAAGTGACCAGTTTGCTGAACAGAATTAATTTGCAAGTACTATGAAAAAAAAAAAGACTTCTCATTATCAAAGCGTTTTTATAGCACTTTGTGTACCGGGGTATGTAAGGCCAGCACTGTCTCTTTGCATGCAGGCAGGATGGGCTGCTTGCATGTAGATGTGAGTGCCTTGATGACAAGTGTCCTTGGCATCCAAACATTCTCTTTGGGAAGACTACCCTTATGAGGCCAATCCTGAATCAAAGCCCCTGGAGTCAGCTTGCTTCCAGCCATTGATTTTCTCTTTGTTGATGTCATGGACCAACTAGAATGTGATTATAGTTTAGTTAAACATGCAAACTCCCTGAACTCCACCCTTAACATCTGGGTTCCGGTTTACTTACCACCCTCGTGTCCTATTTCCTCTGCACACATCAGCCACCACAGCCAAAGGGACCGGCTTGCAGCTCTCTGCACCTGTTCGGGATCGTTCTGTCTTCCTGTGTGCTGTTTCTCTTTTCTGGAATTATAATGCTTTCCTCTTCTTCCCCAGTCATGATTCAACCTATGCTTCATCAATGTTTTTTAAGTAAAGATGTCTGCCATTTACCTTTGTCAGAGTTTGTAAGAAAATTTTATTTTTTTCTAGTTTGTAGCCAAATATTTGAATGAAGATCTCATTGATTTTTTTTTATTGGGGTAAAATATACATAAGCATTTGTTTAACTGTTGATAAATGTAAATTAATTATGTTCACCATGTTATATAATCACTGCTATTATCTATATCTAACATTTTTCATCATCTGCAAGAAAACCTTTGTACCGATTCAGCAGTTCTCCATTCTCCTCTCTCCTCATCCCCTTGTAACCAGCATTCTAATTTACGTCTCTATGAATTTACCTGTCCTAAGTACCTCTGATAACTAGAATCATATGATATATATTCTTTTATGTCTAGTTTATTTTTTGTACTATGTGTCAGAGTGTCCCTTTTTAAGGCTGAATAAAATTCCATCATGTGTACACACTACATTTAGTTTATCTAGTCACCTGTTGATTGACGCTTGGGTTGTTTTGTTCTTTCAGTTACTGTGAATAATGATGCTATGAACATCAGTGTACAAATATCTGTTCAAGCCTCTACCTTCAATTCTTTTGGATCTATACCTAGGAGTAGAATTAATACGTTATACAGTAGTTCTATATTTAACCTTGAACTTTCGTCTATAACTGTTTATTCTACATTCTCATTAGTGAGGCACACAGGTTTACCATTTCTCCACATCCTTGCCAATACTTATTATTTTTCTTTCTTAAAATTTTTTAATTTTTGAGATAGGGTCTCTGTCACCCTGGTAGAGTGCCTTGGCATCATAGCTCACAGCAATTTCAAACTCCTGGGCTCAAGTGGTCTTCTTGCCTCAGTCTCCCTAGTTGCTGGGAATACAGGCACCTGCCATGATGCCTGGCTAAATTTTCTATTTTTGGTAGAGAGGGGTCTCACTCTTCCTCAGGCTGATCCAAATGACTGAACTGAGGCAATCCGCCTGACTCAGCCTCCTAGAGTGCTAGGATTACAGGTGTGAGCCACCACAACTGGCCAGTTTTTAATTGTTTTTATTATAACCATCCTGGTAGGTGGAAAGTGGTATCTCTTAGCGGTCTTGGTTTGCGTTTCTCTGATGCCTAATGATGTTGGCCATCCTTCCATGTGCTTATTGGCTGTCTGTATAATTTTGGAGAAATATCTGTTTAAGTCCTTTTCTCATTTTGTTCCACTTAATTTTTATTTGTGTATTTTTTATTTTATTATTATTATTATTTTTGAGACAATCTCACTGTCTCACCCTCGGTAGAGTACAGTGGCATCACAGCTCATAGCAACTTCACAGTCCTAGGCTCAAGTGATTCTCTTGCCTCAGCCTCCCAAGTAGCTGGGACTACAGGCACCCACCACAATGCCCAGCTATTTTTTTGTGATTGTCATTGTTGTCTTAGCAGGCCCAGGTTGGGTTTGAACCTGCCAACCTCAGTGTATGTGGCCGATGCCCTGCCCACTGAGCTATGGGTGAAGCCCTCCACTGAATTTTTAAGCAGCATCTTTGACTTAAACATAGCATTGATCATAAGACTCACTTCAAGGTTTGGCGCCCGTAGCACAGTGGTTATGGTGCCAGCCACATACACTGAGGCTGGCGGGTTTGAGCCTGGCCTGGGCCAGCTAAACAACAATGACAACTGCAACAAAAAATAGCTGGGCACTGTGGTGGGCGCCTGTAGTCTCAGCTACTTGGGAGGCTGAGGCAAGAGAATCACCTAAGCCCAAGAGTTTGAGGTTGCTGTGAGCTGTGATGCCATGACACTCTACTGAGGGTGACATAGTGAGACTCTGGCTCAAAAAAAAAAAAAAAGACTCACTTCAGTTTCAGAAATGTTAGAATACAATAAAATGCGTATCTTAGAATAAAAGCTACAGTAGTATCTCCTTATGTGCTTATCTTAAAATGTATACTTGTTCGTTTTGAGTGCCGTGTGTAAAGTATACATTAACTTGCCTTTTGGTAATTTCCCTATTGTGGTGATGATAATCACCTTAGTAAAGTAGCTTAAGTTACTTACTAATAAAAATTAACATAATTGTTTATTTTCCATTAACTGTATGTATCTGCTTGAGTTAAACCATTTGTTACTTCAATACATGGTGTTCATTTTGTTTAGGTAGATTTAATATGCTGAGCGCAGTATTACATCACCACATTCAAAGGTATAGTGTGAATCTTTGAAAAAAAAATAATTTTTCTGTATTTTAAATACCAGTTATTAAAAGAATGTTCCAAATACGCTATAGAAAAAAAATGATGACATTTTAAAGTGTACGTGGCACTTGCAGTCTAGCTTACACTGACTTAGGGGCTACGTGACGATCCATCTCTCTTCTTGTCCTGCAGAGCCTGGGCTCTCTGTTCTCCATCCGGGTTGTGGGGCTGTCTCTGGCCTGCAGCTACTTGTCTCCAAAGGACAGCCGGCCCCTCTGTCACTGGGCGGTTGACAGGTAGGATGCTTTCTTATTTGGCTGGCCTCCTTTGAGGCTGTGTCTGAGGGAGATGGCTCTCAGTGTTAGCTAGTCCTGCTCAGGGACCTTCAGCACCAACCATCACGAAGGGTCCTTGGGCACCTTCTGCACTTTGAACCCTGACTGCTAGAGAGTTACTATTAATATTACGGCCACTTCAAAGACAGGGGGCACTGTGGGTTTCAGAGACTGTTAACTTGCTCACACTTATACAGCTAGTTAATGGTCAAGTCCAAATTTGAACCCAGATTGTTCTAAGTAAAAAACCAACTTGAACTGGACTGTCTCCCTAGGGTAAGTGAGAATGTGCCCCTGATCATTGGTTCCACATAGCCAGAGACTGTGGACTACAGCTGAGGGATGACATTCACGTGCCTGTGTCTCTGGTGGCTTTGATTTCTGATTCCCCACATACTCACTTACTAGGCAGCCTTGCAAAGCCATGCCCAGTGTCAGCACGCCACCTGATCTATGAGGTAGTTTTGCTTTGTCATTTTCCCATAGACCCAAGTTTCTCTGTAAAGAAACTCTGATTTCCTGCCTTGGCCAGCCAAAGCTGACTCAGTCCACAATGTAGCAATGGGCCTCCTCCTCTCTAAAGAGAACAGGAGCCAGGATGGGGGCAGGCCCAAAGGTTCTGTGACCCACATCTCATCCACATCCTCCTTAGTAGTAGATGTTTTACAAGGTTGGGGAGGCAGGGAGATGTCAGCCAGGGCCTGCTTGGTGTGACAAGAAAAGGGAGCCCTGGAGAGAAGGACTTCCCCCAGTGCTCAGCCCCAGAGACAAGAACTTGTTACTCAAGTGGGTTCTGCAGACGCAGTGCCAGCCTTCTAGCTGACTCTCACTGGTCCAGGACAAGAACTTGAGAGGAAGCATTTAGAAATGTTAAAACAGAGCAATTTAAAATATGTTAAATATGATAATTTCTAATAATGGAACCTGTGTTTTATATATCTTTCCCCACTACATTTTTATTTTTTATAAGAGTATTTATGTATAGTGGTTTGAAAACAAACCAACAGACTGGTCTTTCACCATCAGTCATTTGAGGAGCTCTGAGAAAGACTGGAGTTGGCCACAAGTCACCTCCCTAGAAGGCCCTCCCTGAGGCCACACCCTCCTGGCTAACACCTTTCATTCACCTGACCTGTCACTGTGGTCTGGGCCCTCCCAGGGTGTAGCCCTCCACGGCATCTGATGCCTCCTTCACAGGGCCCTCCAGCCCCTGCCTGCTTATTCTAACACCTCCAGTTCCTCTAGAAATTTCTTTTTTGTTGAATTGTGATAAAATACACATGACATAAAGTTTATTATTTTAAACTTTTTCTTTGAGACAGAATCTCACTATGTTGCCCACAACTAAAGTGTCAAGCGTTGGCCTAGCTTATAGCAGCCTCAAACTCTTGGGCTTAAACAATCTTCCTGCCTCAGCCTTCTGAGTAGCTGGGACTACAGGTGCCTGCCTTTATGCCTGCCTGTTTTTTTATTTTTTGTAGGGAAAAGGTCTTGCTCTTGCTCAGGCTAAGCTCAAACAATCCACCTGTTTCTACCTCCCAGAATGCTATGATTACAAGTGTGAGCCACCACACCCAGCTTGAGAGAAAGACTTTTTGAAGATAGTTTGGTGGGCAGAGGGCTAGGGCACTGGGTCTGATGATTGGCATGGGATGAACTCAGGGGTGGGAAGCAGAGATTATCTTCTCAGATGAGAGATTTCCTGGGTGGGCTGTTCTCAAGGCTGTTGGATCCCTTCCCACACTTATCCATGTGTCCAGTTGATGTCAGTGGGTGCCCCTAGGAATGCAGAATCTGAAAAATGCTTCAAAGACCAGTGTTAGGCTTTGTAATAGCAACGTTATCTAGAGAAGCTCATATCTTGGGCTTCCATGGCAGTCTTTATCTCTAGAGGGATTTGGAGAGTCACAAACTCTGGACCTGTCCGGGAGGCCGTAACAGGTTACACCAGTAGGGAAGTTAGGGAACAATGGCTGGTTAGCTTCTGGCTGTCTCTATATTTTTGTAAAAATCAGAATTTGATTGCTGTTTATACTTATGGCTTTACATTATTTTAATATGGATGGTTTCGCCCTTAGGTGGCCGCCTAGTCCCTGCAGCATAAAGCCCACTCTTCCGAGGGTGGCCTACAAGGCCTGCCCTCTCCCACTGTGGCCTGCTGCTCGCTGTGCCTTGGCTGTTCTAGCACACACCCTACCCTCTACCTGCAGAGCTCTCTACCTGAAAGACACTTTTCCTTCTGGTTCACCTGGTGACTCCTGCTTGTCTATCCTCCAGAGCAGCCTGGGTGCACTGTCCCTGAGTCCCCAGACACAACCTGGCTGCATTATGATGATTTCTTTGTGTGTGTCCCCTAGTAGTCTCTGAGCTTCTTAATGGTAGAGATCATTAAGTGCCTGCATTGGCGTCCCTGCATCAGTATGGAACAAGGGCCTCTCTCTGGTCGGAATCAGAGCTGGATTTGGGAGATGGGTGGTGATCACACTGTCCAGGGAATAGTGGTTTCCATGTGTGAAGGGAACTCCAGGCCACAGCCACCCCTCTGCCCTTTGTGTGACTTGTTCTACAACAGAGCTGGGGCATGAAGATCCAGCACTAGTGTACAAGTCCAGTTCTCCTTTTCCATTCCCGTGTTTAGATTCCACTTGAAAAGTAGACCATGGATGGAGGCAGAAAGAGAGAGAAAATGTTAACCTTATTGGTAAAATGAATTACAGAAAGAATGTGCTTAGATGTGAGTCCTACTTGACTTCTGTTCCCCTAGAATTAAATTACACTCTCCCTCACCCCTCGTCAAGGCAGAGGTCCCCATTCGCAGGTCTCCCTCATTGTGGGGATGGGAGAATCTGGGAGACTTGAAAGAAATTTGGTTCTAGGCCTCCTTGATGTGTCTCCTCTGAATGAAATATTTGCCTCAAACCTCTAGTCTTCTATGTGCAGGGCAGAGCTGCTTCCAGAATACCCTGAGCATGGGTGAGGGGGGATGCCAGGCTGCTCAATGCAGGACACAGGAAGGGGGATGGAGTTGGGGATGGGTGTAGCCACTCACCCTCTCCCAAACCCACCAACCAGATAAGATGCTTAGGGGAAGGAGGAGGCTCACAGCTTGGTTCTTGGACAGGTGAGGCAGTGCGATTAGCATTTGTCTGGACACAGTAGGGTTTGCTTAGCTGTCTCGGCTCTGCCACGACTCTGGTGGAGACCAGTCAGTGCTCATGCACAGGATTTTGTGCCTTCCATGAGCTCAGGACTTTTTGTTCAATCATCTTGGTGACAGTTTGGGACTCATCTGATAACCATCACCACCATCACCCTGCCACCTGCCTTCTTCTTGCAACAAATTCTAAATGTTCTTTTGGATGCAGACTTTGCCATCGCTTGTATCTGTACTTCTTGATTTCAAGCTAAGTTGTCCACTTGGCTTTTGTTCCATCTCTTCTGCACTGAGCCTTCATAGCCCGAGCAGCTGGAAGAGGTTGTAGCATTCCCTGCATTGAGCTTTTTTATGCGTTGGAGGGTTTGGAAGAAGACCTCGTAGGCAGTGGACATGAACTTGAAGCTGCTCCTTCTGCATTGTGATGGGGGAAGTTAGCAACTCCCTTTGGGCTTCATCAGAATCAGATATTTGTGTAGGACCGTGGAGTAGAACTGCCCTGGAGACATTGAGAAGCTAGCAGGGCCTGCAGTGGGACAATCCATCTGTGTCCTTTAGTAACCAAAAATCCCTAGGGCTTGCAAGCTCCCACCAGAGTAAGGGGAGGGCCTCAAGCTGCGGGTGTGGGACTAAGCCCTCAGCAGACTTAGCAGTGCCCCAGACACTGTTTTGGGTTATAGGCAGTTTGGGATATTACTGTCTGGAACATCAGGTTGGTGTTGGAGGCAGATTGCTGAGCCCTACAGAGTGGTGGGAAGGAGGCTCTGTGTCCTCTGATGGTCTGCTTTGTTCTCTCCTCAGAGCTTTGCACTCCAGGAGGCCAGGAGGTCCACCCCATGTAAAGCTGGCTGTGGAGTGGGATAGCTCGGCCAAGGAGCGGTGAGTTCAGTGAATTTCCCTCCTGCAGAGTTGAGTCAGGGGTTGCCTAGACCCAGTGTTTCCCAGTGTGACCAGAAGGCATAGCCCTGTCCCCTAGGAGACCTTAGTGAGATTTGTCTGTGTGTAAATAACAATGACAGTCAGAGTAAGGATGTCTCAGTGGCTGTGTTAGGAGTGCTGTTAGCAGCAGTGGTAAATGGTTGTGTATCACCTACCCACTCAGCTCCACTCACCACTGCCAGCCGCTGCTCTGAACACTCCACACATATGCCATTTGCTCAGTCTTCACCGCAGCCTGCATGTGGACCCTGTAATCCATGTTCCTCAGAGGCATGATGGGACCAAGGCACAGGGAGGATCGGCAGTTGCTTAAGGGCACATTGCTCATACTTGGCAGAGCTGGGATTTGAACCCAGGCCATCTGGCCCGTATCTGTGCTCTTAATCACCATACCTGGTTGCCACTGGGTGCACCAGTCTTACTTTGAAAAAGGACATTGTTCAGTGCAGTAAGTACTTATGGATCTTCAACTAGGCACTAGGCCCTGTGCTAGGATGTGGGGGAACAAATATGTCCAAGACATGGTCCCTGCAAGAGCTGGTGGGGGAGAGAATAATTCCAGTAAAGCAGAGTGAGTGCTGAGAAAGAAGCATGCAAAGTGGTTCCCCAGGAGCCCCCAGAAAGGGCGTGGGAGCTTACCTGGCTGGCTCCTTCCTCTAGGTTTGCTAGGTAGAGACCTAGCTGAGCCCCCCTCCCCGGAGGGCCCTGAGTGCCGTGCGTGCTTTCTCCGTGCAGACTGTTTGGGAGCCTCCAGGAGGAGCGGGCCCGGGATGCTGACAGCGTGTGGCGACAGCAGCAAGCGCACCAGCAGCACAGCTGCACGCTGGACGAATGCTTTCAGTTCTACACCAAGGAGGAGCAGGTCCCACCCTGGGGGTCCGCACCCCGGCCGGGAAGGGGGCTAGCTACCCTTTTGGTGGGTTGGCACGAGTCTCAGGGACCTCACGGCTCGGGTGGCTTCCTTTCTAGCTGGCCCAGGATGATGCCTGGAAGTGTCCGCATTGCAAAGTCCTCCAGCAGGGGATGGTGAAGCTGAGTTTGTGGACCCTGCCTGACATCCTCATCATCCACCTCAAAAGGTTCTGTCAAGTGGGTGAGAGAAGAAACAAGCTCTCCACGCTGGTCAAGTTCCCCCTTTCTGGACTTAATATGTCTCCCCACGTGGCCCAGAGAAGTACCAGCCCCAACCCCGGGCCAGGCCCCTGGTCTCCCTGGAAGCAGCCAGCCTGCCTGCCCACTGCCTACCCGCTGGACTTCCTATACGACCTGTACGCTGTCTGCAACCACCATGGCAGCCTGCAAGGTGGGCATTACACAGGTGAGCCTCACCCTGCCTCTCTGTGCCCAGCAGCCGCAGCCACATGTTGTGGCTGTGGCCTGAACCTCAAGAAAACACCCCTGAAACTGATGCTGCTGGAGTGCTGAGAGTGACGTGACTCCACACTCCCCTCACACCTGGGCACGTGCAGTGGTGGAGGGGACCTGACCCCCGCTGTGGCACCCACGTTGAGCTAGGTTGGAGGTTGGAATATAATGTTTGTTACTAGTGAGTTTTCAACCATATCAAATATAGGAGGCTAATTATTGGAAACAAGAGAGTGACATTTACCCTCCAATGTGAGTCAACGTAGGGAATCTTATCAAATTTGGTATCTTTTTCTATAGGTTAATTTTCATTTTTATTCCCCTGGGGAATTGGAGAGCAGTAGATGAATGAAAGGACAGAAATAAAAAGCTGGGTAACAATTGTTCATTTCCATCCCTTTAAGCGCTTTTAGAGAATGTCATGACTGGTCCTTTTTCTCAGTTATATTCTTTGCTTCTCTCCACCGAGGCATCTAGATGATAGTGGGATGGCTGCAGGAGAGCTGCAGGGAGCTGTGGGTAGCAGCCTCAATCGGGTGTCTCTACTATGGAGGGAGCAGTGGAAGGTGGTCTGTGTGGTGCTGAAGATGCCGGGAGGTTTAGCGCACAGCCCCTACCTTAGAGGGTGGTACAGACACCCACAGAGAGAAGAGAAAAATGAGTCTGGGGACCACCTGCAGGGACAGGGAGGTTTTGGACAATGGGCTTACACTGGGCCAGTCTGTACTGATCACACCTAAGGTTACAGGGGACATCAAAGCCACTCTCAGCTCCTAGGCAATGCCTATGCCACTGTGCGGTGCCACCCTGTTCTTCCACAGCTGTCCTGTTCCAGATGAGAGGGGTTCCCACCTTCATAGCCCATAGGACTATTCTGTCCAGCCACTTCCCCAGTCTTGCTTCTCTAGGCTAGGATCAGCCCAGCTTAAATCCCTTGTGATCCGTAGATACCTTGGGAGCTATCTCTCCTGCCGTGTTAACCTTGGATGTTTCTTACTAACAGCATTATAGCTGTATCTCTGAATAAGGACAGCTGGAGTCACATGCTGAATGTCCAGAGCGCCTTATCTATAAACCCACGGGGCGGCCCCAACATATATTAAGAGCATCCATGCCAAATCACGTGAGAGCTGGGAGTAGGACAGGAATGAGAAGCATTGGTGTGTGTGCACTCTGAACCCCGACTTATCAAAAGCAAAATGCAGGTCCTTCCTAGGAGTGAGCATTAAAGACTAAAATCCCCAATTTGGGGAAGGTGGTTTGGTGGCACAAGGAGACCCCATTCCTGGGAGGTTCCCCTTGCAACCTTCCCGGGATCTGTGTTTGTTCACACAATGTGCCACAGCCTTCCAGGGAAAAGCCTGCTCACTACTAACACCGAAGAGAGAAAAGCCCAAGAGGAAGAGGGGGGCAGTGATCTGGGCCTGTCGCTCGCATCAGTGTCAGCTTACACTCACGACAGCTCTGAGTTGCATGTTAAATGGCAGAGCCAGAGGTTCACACGGGCCCACTCTGGCTCCTGATTCCCCAGATTCCACACTGCAGAGATGAGGGACCCCTAACATGAATAAGTCCCCAAGCTGCACAGGGCATTATAGTGAGCATCGATGCCCTCACTTAAGGGAAATACACCCTCTAGTAGCTTTGCAGGGAGGAGAGAAGGCAACTTGACATTTCGAGTTCTTGCATGTCAGAAAATGCCTTTATTCCCACACCTGATTCATGGGTTGGTTGGACATAGAATTCTACATGGAAAATCATTTTCCCACAGCCTTTGAGCAGGCAGAGCAGCATGGGGAAAGGGCTCTGGAGTGAGATCTTGCTGTTGAGATGGGTCAGGCCAATTTAATTTCTGTTCCTTTGTCTGGGATCTGTTTTTCATTCTGGAAGCTTTCAGGTTCTCTGTCACGGTGCTTTGGAATTTCATGGGAGTGTGCTTTCCTGCGGGTCTGTCTTCAGTCCTGGTGCTGGGCACTTGAGAGGCTCTGTGTGTCTGCAGATGTGTGATCTTCAGGTTCGAGAAGTTTCCTTATGCTTGGTTTTTAAATATTTTTTGGATAGAAAATACATTCCTATGGTTAAATATCAAATAGGGGGCAGGACACAGTGAACAGTCTTGCGCTTACCCTCATCTCCCGTCTATCCATTCCAAAGCACTTACTCGTTTTTTGTGTGTCCTTCAGAGTTTCTGTGTACCAAAAGGAGCAGATATACACAGAGCTGTTCTTGGTGCTCCTCACTCCCTTCTAAACACAAGGGAGTGTTCAATACTATGCACATAATTCTATACCTGGCTTTCTTTACTTAGTAATGTATCTCAGGGATCTTTCTATATTGGTACACTGAGTCCTAAGGCATTCTTTGTTTGAAACAATTGCTTAGTGTTTCATTGCCTGCATGTTTCACAGTTTATTTCACCAATGTCCTTTTCATGGACTATCGGGTTGTTTTCAAATTTTAATTGTAAGAGGAGTTCAGGAATGACTTTGTACATTGTGTCACTAGGTGTATTGTGAACTTCCCCTCTCTGTGGTAGGCAGAATAAAGATCTCCCAAATGTGTCTACCTTCTAATCCTGGGAACCTGTGACTATGTTATGTTACCTGGTAAGGGAGACTCCCAGTGGTTAATCTGCTGACTTTAAGAGATGATCCTGGGCTCGGCACTTGTAGTAGCTCAGCGGCTAGGGTGCCAGCCACATACACTGGAGCTGGTGAGTTCGAATCCAGCTCAGGCCTGCCAAACAACAAAGACAACTGCAACCAAAGAATAGCAGGGCATTGTGGCAGGTGCCTGTAGTCCCAGCTACTTGGGAGGCTGAAGTAAGAGAATCACTTAAACCCAAGAGTTTGAGGTTGCTGTGAGCTGTGACGTCACAGCACTCTACCGAGGGGGACAAAATGAGACTCTGTCTCAAAAAAAAAAAAAAAAAGAAAAAGAGATGATCTTGGATTGCTCAGGTGGGACAAGTAGAATAACTGGTCCTTTAAATGCGGAAGAGTTAGTGATGTCAGCTGGGAAGGACCCAACCTGTACTGGCCATTGCTGGCTTTGAAGATGGCAGGGGGCCTGGAAGCTGGGACTGTGTGGTGGCCTCGAGGAGCAGGAGAAGGACATTTTCCCCAGAGCCCGCAGCTCCGTCAGCTCTGTACTTGTCGGCTCGGCTGACACCTTACGTTTTTGAGCAGTAAGACCCTCTTTTAGATTTTTTTATTTCAGGACTCTAGAATAATAAACCTATGTTGTTCTAAGTGTGGGGGATCTGTCACAGTGGCACTAGAAAGCCCAAACATTTCCCAGCCATCTCCGATGTACCTTCTCTCTCATTTGTCATTTCCTTGTCTTTTTCCGTTTACTCTCGGAGATTTTCCTCAACTTCATCTCCTAGCTGTGCCACTGAATGCTTTCATTTCTGCTGTCATAATTTTAACTTGTGAGTAAGTAAGTACTCCTTCTTGGCCTGGATTTCCTCTTCAGAGCATCCGGTTCTGTTGTTGGCCCTCACCTGCCCGGGCCTCTTGTATTCCTGCTTGTGAGCGGCTCCGCCCTCCCCTCCCCTCCCTCAGCGGCTGCCCACCGCCCCCCTGGGGGCTGGCCTCTCCACAGCAGAGCCTTGCTTTCCTTTCTGTTGTCTTTGGACATTGTGGGTTTATGCCTTTTTGATTTTTTTACTTTCTGAAAGTGTGGTCATTTCGCTACGTTTCAGGTTTTTAGACATCTCAGATGTCTTCTGTTTGATTTAAAATATGTTGACTAGGTAATGCATTTCTTTATTTCAAAATACAGAAATGTCTTTTCTATATGTCTTTTTCACACAGCCTGAAAAAGACGAGAAGGTAAAAAGTCTTGATTCCCATCTTTGTCCGTTATCTGTCCCTTCCCCATTCAAGGGTAGCCACTTTAATAGTTTCTTGTGTGTTCTTCCATAGTGTTTAAAATGTAAAATACAAGCAACTGTGATTATATTTTCACACATACATATATGTTTTCATTTCCTATTTCATATATTTGCTCCCATTCCCTAATTTGTTGCATCTGGGTGCCCCCCCCAAATTTGTCTTCGAAATCTTTTCATATTTCCATTTATTGAAACTTCTCCATCCTCTTCTATAAATGTACTGAGTAAGTGTAGCAATATGAATAGTGCCCTATAGATGGACAGTGGGCTCATTCATTGTTTTGCTGTAACAAATATTGCCATCAAAGCCCTTTATGTTTGTGATTTTCCAAATGTGTAAGTTTATTGGTAGAATAAATTCTCAGAATTGCCCTGTATGGATAAATAGCCCTGCACAAACGGCTGTAGGAATTTTCACTCCTACAAGATTAAGAGAATGTCTGTTTCCCAGCAGCCTCTCGAGTAGAATATGCTGTTAAGCTTTTGGATTTTCACCAGTATAACAGGTAGAAAATGGTATCGCAGTATAAATTTCATATTCAGCTTCTTCATCATGTGAGCTTGAACATCTTTCCATATGTTTGAGCCACAGTGATTTTTTTTCTGTCAACCATCCACATCCTTTAATTGCTTTTAAATAGATCATTGTTCATTTTTCCCCATCAATTTCTATGTGCTCTAGTGACTATATATAAGATTCACATCTTTTCTGTAATATAAATTTTAAATATCTGTTCCCTATATAGTATCCGTCAGTTAACTATTCCTGTCATAATTTTTTTTTTTTTTAATTTCAGGTTACTATGAGGATACAGACAATTAGGTTACAATGTTTGCATTTTTTTTTTTTTTTTGAGGCAAAGCCTCAAGCT